AAAATATCGAATATCAAATACCAAAATTTTTGGTTTTGGTACGGTAATTCGGTATTTACCAAATTATGCACAGCCCTAGCTATAGCCCACACTATCTGCATGCATCCTGGAGACCGTACCCAAATCGCCCAAAATTTTACTAGCCCATCAAACACGACCTAAGGAACAATAATCATCGCTTTCCATGATCTTTGTCATTTTTTTGGCATTTTAGGGGCATAAAACTGGAATTCTACCCGATTTCTCTATTTTTCGTATGCTATAGCCTACACCCACCTGCATGCATCTGCGCGACCAGACCTAAATTGCCTAAAACTTTGTCGGCCCATAAAAAATGACCTGAGGAACAATAGTCACCGCCTTGTCATGACCCTTCATCCTTTTGTGGCGTTTTATGGCCATAAAACTGGAATTCCGTCTGATTCTCAAATTTTCGTGTGCTACCACGCCATTTGGTGGGGCCCGGGCCATCAGACCCAGATAGCCTATAATTGGCCGGCCTATCAAAAATGACTTAAGGAACAATAATCACCGCCTCCCCATGACCGTTTCTCATTTTTTTGCTTTTTAGGGCCTTAAATCTGGAATTCCGCATGATTCCCAGATTTTTGTGTGATATAGCCCACGCCATCTGGTGGGGCCCGCGCCCCCAGACGTGAATCACCTAAAATTTTGCTGACCCATAAAAAATGACCTAAGGAACAATAGTCACTAACTCGCCATGACCGTTCCTCTTTTTTGGCATTTTAGGGCCATAAAATAAGAATTTTGCCCGATTCCTAGTCTTTCGTGTGCTATAGCTCACGCCATCTGGTGGGGCTCGGGCCACCGGATTTGGATCATCTAAAATTTTGCCGGGCTATAAAAAACGATCTAACGAAAAATATTCACCTCCTCTCCATGACCGTTCCTCATTTTTTGGTATTTTAGGGCCTTAAAACTAAAATTCCACCTGATTCCAAGAATTTTGTGTGCTATAGCTCACGCCATTTGGTGTGGCCCAGGCCATCGGACTCGGATCTCCTAAAATTTTGCCGGTTCATCAAAAACGACCTAAAGTATAATAGTTACCGCCTCGCCATGACCATTCCTCAATTTTTGGTGTCTTAGGGCCATAAAACTGGAATTTCACCCGATTTCCAGATTTTTGTGTGATATAGTTCATACTTTCTGTAGGGCCCGGGCCACTGACCCGAATCGCCTACAATTTTTCCACCCCATAAAGAATGACCTAAAGAAAAAATAATCACCGCCTCGCCATGACCGTTCCTTTTTCTTTTTGGCATTTTAGGGCCACAAAACTGGAATTTTGCCAGATTCCTATACTTTCGTGTGCTATAAGCCCACGCCATCTGGTGGGGGTCGGGTCACCAGACCTGGATCGCCTTAAAATTTGTCGGATAATGAAAAAAGACCTACGAGAAAATTGTCAACGCTTCTCCATGACCGTTCCTCATTTTTTGGCGTTTTAGGATCATATAACTGGAGTTCCGCCTAATTCCCATATTTTTGTGTTCTATAGCCCGCACCATCTGGTGGTGCTCGGTCCACCAGGCCCAGATTATATTAAATTTTCCCGGCCCATAAAAATGACCTAAGGAACAATAGTCACCGCCTCACCATGACCGTTCCTCATTTTTGGCATTTTAGGGCATTAAAATTGGAATTCCGCCCGATTCTCAGATTTTCATGTGCATAGCCCACACCATCTACTGGAGCCCAGGCCACCAAATTCGGATCACATAAAATTTTGCCGGCCCATAAAAAATGACGTAAGATATAATAGTCACTGCCTCACTATGACCGTTTCTCTTTTTTTTTTGGCATTTTAGGGCCATAAAATTAGAATTCCTCCCGATTCCTATATTTTCGTGTGCTATAGCGCACACCATCCGATGAGGCTTGGCCACCGAAACCGAATTGCCTTATATTTTGCTGGCCCAACAAAAATGACGTAAGGAACAATAGTCACTACCTCGCTATGGCCGTTCCTTATTTTTTGGCATTTTAGGGCCATAAAACTTGAAGTCCGCCCGATATCCAAATTTTTGTGTGCTATATCCTATTCCATCAGGTGGGGCTCGGGCCGCCGGACCCGAATCGCCTAAAAGTATGCCAGCCATCTAAAACGACCTAAGGAAAAATTGTCATCACCTCTCCATGACCATTCCTCTTTTTTTGGCATTTTAGGACCATAAAACTGGAGTTTCATCCAATTCCCAAATTTTCGTGTGCTATAGGCCCCGCCATCTGGTGGGGCTTGGCCCACCAGACTCGGATCACTTGAAAATTTGATGGCCTATCAAATATGACTGAAGGAACAATATTCACCGTCTCTCATGACCGTTGCTTACTTTTTGGCATTTTAGGGCCATAAAATAGGAATTCTGTCTGATTCTCAGTTTTTCGTGTGCTATAGCCCTCGCCATTTAGTAAGGCTCGGGCCACCAGACTCGGATAGCCTTAAATTTTGAGGCCTATCAAAAATGACCTAAGGAACAATAGTCACCGCCTCGCGATGACAACTCCTGAATTTTGGGCATTTTTGGACCATAAAACTAGCATATCGCCCGATTCCCAGATTTTCGTATGCCATAGCCCATGCCATTTGGTGGGGACAGGGCCACCGTAGCCAGATTGCCTAAAATTTTTCCGTCCTAGCAAAAATTACCTAAGGAACTATGGTCACCGCCGCACCATGACCGTTCCTCAATTTTAGGCATTTTTGGGCCATAAAACTGGAATTTCGCCTAATTCCCAGGAATTCATATTCTATAGCCCATGACACTTGGTGGGGCCCGGTCCACCGGACCTGAATCGCCTAAAGTTTTGCCGGCCCATCAGAAATGACCTAAGGAACAATAGCCACCGCCTCGCCATGATTGTTCCTCATTTTTTGGCATTTTAGGGCGATAAAACTAGAATTTCGCCTGATTTCAAGATTTTCACGTGCTATAGCCCACACCATTTGGTGGGGATCGGCCCACTGGACCCTTAATGTATGAAGATTCAAGCTTAATAATTATCAAGGCAAACATACTAGGCTGAAGATCCAATACTGTAAGAAGCACTAAAATAGTACAAGAGAAGTCATTTAGTAGTTCCAAAAGAACCCTAGGGCCTTGTCTTAAACCATTAGAACAAAATAAACTAAACATACTACAACCTACTCAGACTAAAACAAAAAAAATTAAAGCATCATTGGAATAGCAAAGGAAACTAAGGACACTGGGAAGGAATAAGTTCATGGGTGAGAGGTAGGGGGTCAATGCATTCACAAGAGTGGCAATCTGTTGGGCATGAGCTTCCCTATCTCTTTTGAGTTTTTCCCTAATCTTCCCGGCTTCTTTTCTCAGCTCATCATTGTCTTCACGAAGCTTGGAATTCTCTTAAACAGGCAACTCCAACCTCTTACTGAGCTCTGCTGCCATGTTGCTTCCAGGTAGAATAGCACATCCTGTTGATCCCTAGCATTGATCTCCTCATAGCCACACTGTTTGAGGGTAACAAGATCCAAAACATAATTGTGATTTCCATACTTAAGCTCAAGCAAGGCAATGTTGAGCTTGTCAAATAGCTTAGTCAACATGAAGCCATAAGGCATATCATGCTTAGGCTTGGAAGTGTCTGTGGCTCTTACCATATGCTGAATCATCAAGCTAGGGAGTTTGATAGATCTACCAGTGTCAAGCGGTTCCATTATAGCCATGTCCAACAAAGTAGCTCCATGCCTTCTCTCAGACCTCTAAAAAATGCTGGAATTGAAAAAGTGAAACAATAGCTTGTGGAAGGGGGTCATATCAGTCTTGTACCCCTTCTAGGGAGCATCCAATTCAAACATTTGGGAGAAGTTCCCAGTGACCACAATTCTAGTGTCAACATCATTGTCTAGGGCTGGTCACTTTTTCTTCAGGTAATTGTCAAATCCTAAAGAAGAAATATTTAGAAGCATCCCCATCTCCTCAGCATCAAACTCCATTTCAAACCCCTTTACCTTACTTTTGACTACCTTTCCATCAAATTGGAAGTTTGCATAGAACTCCACCAAAGCAGGAACACATACATGGGAAAGCTTTGACAAATATGTTCTTCCATCCCTGTAGCTCAAGTTTTCAACCAGTTGAGCCATCCCTTTTTCATTAGTGTTTGCAAGAATCTTCCCATTAAGCACTTTTCTATTCCTGAACTCTATGAGTCTATCAACCATAGCTGGCACATTCTTTCTCTTCTTTCCTTTACTGGACCTTGCAGATGGGGTAGCAGTTTTTGTAGCTTTGGCCGCCATTCTCTTTTGTGTTGAGGACTTTTTCTGGCAAAGCAAACTCAGACTCATCTTGTCCATCCAACTCAACCACAGGTTCTACAATTGAAACATGCTTCCTTGGCTTCTTGGCACCTCTAGACTCCTTAATGATTTTCTCATCAACAACCTTTCTTTTACTCCTTGTAAGAGGAATCCTGGCAGGTGGAGCCACTTTTTTCCTTGTTGGTACTGCAGACTTTGTTGCTTTCACAAGAGTCTTCCTAGGTTTCTTCCTTATCTCTGACAAGGGCAAATCATCTTCATCACTGCTGACTTCCTCATCTCCAGTGAAAGGAGTTAAAAAGTGCCCAGGTTCTTAAGGCCTTTTCTCTCCACTTGCTTCTTCTGAAGGGGCTATGACAGTGTTCCCAATGGTCATAGAGCCTTCATATTCCTCACTCATATTGTCATTCTCTTCATCACTTTCTCCATCTACTACTTTACTCTCACTTACCTTTTCTTGATCCTCACCTTCGCTCTCAGAGTTATTCTTTTCTTCACTAGTCTTTTCTTCTTCTGCAGAGTCATCCACTTGTTCACATATCCTATCTTCCATCTCACTCTCCTTCCCTTCACCATAATCTCCCTCATTCTCACTCTTTTCCTCATCATTAGCCATGTATTGAGTAGTATGTTCCTCATGACTGCCCACTCCTCCTCCTTCTTTTTCATCCTCATTATCGTCCTCATCCTCCAACTAACTGAATGAAAGACCATCAGATGCCTCCTTTTGCATTGGTTCTTTACTCCCTTCCACCTCAACCACATGCACCCTAGTAGTGGCATCTACCTTTTTCTCCAAATTTCCTACACTCTTTTCTACAGTGAGTTCCTCCACTTGTGGGTGGAAGAGTGTCTAAGGGTGAAACATCTATAGCGGATACCAAAATATCTAATTTTGAAGGAGGGGGTTGTACCTGACTTGCAATGATTTGCACTGATTCCCCTTGAATCATAGCTTTCTTGACTACTATGTCTACTCGAACAGTAGCATCTGGCACGACCTTGACATTGTTGACAGATTTTCTTGGAGTAGCCTTGACCTTGGTTAACTTAGAGGCATTTTTCGTAGGAGGAACAACTGCATGGGTGGTTCATTTTGGAAGTAAAGGTGCAGTAGAAGTGGGGATGGTGAGAGCAGTAAAAATATGGGATGATGGTGTGGGTATAATAAAGGAAATCGATGGAGAAGTAACGGGTGTTGGTGTGGGTTCACTTGATGGTTTGACACTTTCCTTTCATTTGGGCTTCATGTTCTTGGATTTGGCTTCAATCTTGGATGCTGATTTGGCTTTAGAAAGGGTTTGGCTGGATTTATGCATGGTGATTAGAGAAGAAAATCGATGAAGGGTGAAGAGAAATTAGTTCTTGATTCTTGCTTAGGGTTTGAGAGAAACAGTGAGGTCCGAGAAGCTGATCATAAAGGGGTTTTAAGGACGTTACTCTTGATTTGACTGTAAGAGAGAGGGTGAATTAAGACAAATGGCATGTACCTAAGTCGGAGAACCAACTCCTTCCTTGTTTCTGCAATAAAGCTTCAGCACTTCACATTAGTATCATGCAACATAGTTATTAGCCAGATTTTCTAAGCAGGTGTGTGTGCTTAATACAAGTACGATTCTGAATCAAACACATTGTACTTGATTATATACATCTAATTATACTTTTTCTAGCCAATAATTGGGGTTCAACTAGTTGGAAATATTGATTAGACCTAGTTCTAGTTTGTTCCTTTCAAAGTGATTCCTACTCAAAGCTTTAGTAAATTTATTTGCAATTTGATCTTTAATTTTACAAGAATTAATTGAGATATTCCTATTTTAACATTGTCTTTGAGAAAGTGGTGTCTAATGTCAATGTACTTGGTTCTCCTTTGCTGACATGGATTTTTAGCAATGTTTATAGCACTAGTGTTGTCACAAAAAATAGGAACACAATCAACAAAAATACCATAGCCCCTTAGCTATTGTCTTATCCATAGCAACTGACCACAGCAGGATGCTGCTGCCACATATTTAGTCTTAACTGTGGGTAAGGACACTAAGTTTTGCTTTTTTGTTCCCCAAGACACCAGACATAAACCTAGGAAATGAGCTATTCCTGAAGTGCTTTTCCTGTCAATATGAAAACCTGCATAGTCAGCATCAACATAACCAACTAGATCAAAGCTGTATTCTTTGAGACACCATAAGCATAGGTCAGGAGTCCCCTTGAGATATCTTAGTATCCTCTTGACAGTCTTCAGGTGAGATTCCTTGGGATTTGGCTGAAATCTTGCACATAGTCCCACACTGAATACAATATCATGCCTGTTTGTAGTGAGGTACAACAATGACTTAATCATTCCTCTATATAGTTTCTATTCAACACTTTTCTCTTCTTCATCAAGCTCTAGCTTTGCTGTAATGGCAACGGGAGTGTCAATGGACTTAAAGGAGTCCCTGTTGAATTTCTTTAGCAGTTCGTTGATGTATTTCTGCTGATGTATCATGGTTGCAATAGGTGTTTTCTTGATATGCAACCCCAGGAAGAAGTTCAGTTCACCCATCATTCTCATTTCAAACTCATTCCCCATCATCTCAGCAGATTCCTTGCACATTGCTTCATTAGTAGCCCCAAAGATAGTGTCATCTACATACATTTGCACAATCAGAACATTTTTGCCTTTGCTTCTTAGAAACATACTATTGTCCACCTTTCCTCCTACAAGGTTGTTGGTTAAGAGTAATTTTGAGAGTCTTTCATACCAAGCTCTTGGAGCCTGTTTTAGTCCATACAGGTATTTATCTAACTTGAACACATAGTCAGGAAATTCTTCATTTTCAAGCTCGGGTGGTTGTTTGACAAACACTTCCTCTTTCAAATAACCATTCAAGAATGCACTCTTTACATGCATCTGATACAAGGTGAACTCCATGTGTGCATCAAAGACTATTAGAATTCTTATAGCTTCCATTCTAGCTACAGGTGCAAATGTCTCATCATAGTCAATGGCCTCCTCTTGATTGTATCCCTGAACCACCAGTCTGACCTTGTTCCCTGTGATATTTCCTTGTTCATCCAGCTTGTTTGAATACCCATCTGGTACCTATGACAGTTCTGTTCTTGGGTCTTTGTACCAAGTTCCAGACCTTGCTTCTTTCAAACTGATTTAGCTCCTCTTACATGGCTATAATCCAATCTGGATCCTTTAGAGCTTCTTTGATTGTCTTAGGTTCAACCTGTGAGAGAAAAGCTGTGAGTGCACATAGATTTCTCAGAGATGACCTGATTTACGCTCCTACATTTGGATTAGAGATGATGTTCTCAAGAGGATGTGAACTTTGATATTTCCACGATCTGATCTGCATACCCAGAGAAGATTCACCCAAGAAGTGACCTAGAGGAATAGGTTCAGTAGGTATAGCTTCATCAGTCTGGTTAGCAGTCAAAGTAGTTCTTTCTTCTTCTTGTTCCTCATGATCACTGCCAATTTACTTGTGGTCTTCGAATCCATCTTCAGATTGAGGTTCAGATTACTTAGGAGCTCCATCACCAGTGAGTCCTATGTCATAGTCTTCATCCTGCAAATCTTTCTCAGCCAAATTGGTAGATTCATCAAAAATAGCATGAACATTTTCTTCTACACACATAGTTCTTTTATTAAAAACTTTATAGGTCTTACTAGGTGATAACAACCTTTTTGGATTTAAAAGGTGATATTACATGTTTCCCTCTAACACATGCATCACAAACCTTGTCTGAGGAGAACTCAACCTTTGGTAGACCAAGGACCAAGTCCTTTGCTACCATCATTTTGAGGTGAGAAAGACTAGCTTGACACAGTCTTCTATGCCATAGCAGTGGGTTATCTTCCACTACGCATAAGCATGTGTGCTCACTCTGGAGAAGAGACATAATAGATATGTTGTAAACATTGTTATGCCTCTTACCTTTTAACACAACTTCATCAGTATCAAGCTTAGTGACGGTGCAAATTTTGGAATTGAATTTTACTTCATTTCCTTTGTCACACATTTGAGAGATGTTGAGAAGATTGTGTTTAAGGCCTACCACATAATACAAATCATCTATAGTATGAGAGAGTGATTTACCAACCTTGCCAATACCCATTATCTGGCCTTTTTTCCCTATTCCAAATGACACGCTCCCTCCTTGGAAGGCTGTCAGTGAGAGGAAGTTTTACTTTTCTCCAGTCATATATCTTGAGCATCCACTATCTAGATACCAGTCTTGATTGTTCCCTCTCACTTTTGCCTGCACCAGAAATCACAAGTTAGTCTTGGGAACCCAAACAAACTTGGGTCCCTTTTTGTTTGAAATGGATGAATCAAATATATTCTTTCCCCAATGGGAAGAGATTAGAAGATATTTTCTTATTAACCTTAATCCACTTAGTATGGACAAAAGGCTTGGCTTTTGGCTTTTCCTCCTTCTCCATATTTTTTGGCCTTTATTCCTACATTCAGCATCACAAAGATTATCTTTAGCCCTTTTAAAATTATTTTCAAGCTTATCCCGTAGATCATTCTTTCTTTTTTTACCATGTATATCAAGAGACTTCTCATTCTTAGAAATGAGCTCAAAAACCTGATTCTTAAGGTCTTTGGTCTGTCTCTCTAGATTAGCTTTGTCAAATTCAAGCTATTTGAGATCAAGTTTGACACATGAAATATTGCTTATTAGGTAATCATTTCCAGCGCTCATTTTATCCATTTCACTTATCGTGGTCACAATCATGGCCATCAGTTATTTTTTAGACAAATGTCACGACCCAAACCGAAGGGGCCGCGACGGGCACCCGGTGCCTTATTCAACCGGGTACCAATGTAACATATCTTTCTTATCATACTATTATGGGTAAATGATCCAGAAAACCCGTCATGAGATAACAAGAATAAAATCTAAGGGAAATACTCAACATATGACGGCCCAACATGATATACAAAATTATACATGTGACATACGGACCTATAAGGTCGACATGACCATTTGTAAACTCAAAACATAGGCCTACAAGGCCATAAAAGTATCCATACACCTGACATCTGTCTACAAGCCTCTAAGAGTACATAAAATCATAAAGGTCGGGACATGGCCCCGCCATACCAATCAATATATGACCAAATCATACTGACCAAATAGGCAACTCCGGAGCAAGTGTAGTGTACCAACACCTTCCGCTGAGTTGATAGCCTACCAGGAGGAATGTCAACTTGTCTATCGGGACCTGCGGGCATAAAACGCAGCATCCCCAGGCAAAAGAGGTGTCAGTACGAATAAAGTATCGAGTATGTAGAGTAGGAAAGCATAAACAAGAATAGTAATGTAAAGACAGATAGAGGAGATACAACATGTAACATCTGAGTGCCTCTGGGGGCTACTGACATGAAATTCATAATACATATATACATAAACTTTTAAAAACATACGCCTCTGTGGGCATCATCATCATCAAATCGTACCCGGCCTCAAAGAGGACTCGGTAAAAATGTACCTGGCCATCAAAAGACATGGTAGAATCATACCCGGCCACGTGGAGCTCGACAACTGATAAGTGGTTGCACAATAGGTGCCATACCCGACCGAATATAGCATGGCTCGGTAGAGTAAAATAGATACTATATATAATGCATGCTAGACTCATGAAATTACATTCTAAACCTTTTGGAGTGACTTAAGGTCGTTGCACCTTCGATTAACATTATGGACATCCATTGTCACGACCCAAAAATCCATCTGAAGGAGTCGTGATGGCACCTAGTCTCTAAACTAGGTAAGCCTAACATAAACTAAAGTAACATTGATGCTTATTAACTTTAAATTAACCAACTGAATAATTCAAAATTCCCAAAACCGGTGGTACAATTAACAAGCATATCTAAAATTAATTACACAAAATAATACATCACTGCCCCGAAACAAAGGGGCAAATGGAAATATATACAAAGGAAGGTGACTCCGAGACCTGCGAACGCTGTAGCAGGTTTACCTTGAGTCTCCACCGCGACGACCCACACAACTACTATCAATCCACCTGGATCTGTACACAAAAATGTACAAAAGTGTAGTATGAGCACACCACGATGGTGCCCAGTAAGTATCAAGGCTAACCTCGGTGGGGTAGTGACGAGGAACAGTCAGGACACCTATTGGTCAAATAAAATTAACAGGATATGAAAATAAAACGTCGAGATAAAGATAACGAAGTTATCAACTGCAGAGAGAAAATCCAAGTACAAACAGTATAAACAATAAAGGGAGAACACAGATAGTAACGAACGGAAATCAAGTAAATCAGATAACCCAAGCAATTCAACACTAACATAATAGAGACAGAGACAAGTAAGAATGTATCCAATTAAAGAAAACAATGTCAACTCAACCAATCACATCATGTTTAATATACCATCCCAATCATTTCAATCCTCGATTTCTCATATCATAATCTCAACTTACGAACTTTCAGCAGATATGGCACCTTGTACCCACATATTTTTCATCTCACTCTTAACAACAAAATCCACATGATATACAATACAAAATGGCCTTACAAATGCACTTAAGATGTTCAACCAGTCCTATTTACATAACACAAATTAAATTACAATTTCTAAATAAATTTGGAAAAATCGGCGAGAAAAGATGAAGTTGTTTTTCTGAAATCATTCGAGTAAGAAAGTATACCTTTCCATTTAAAATACGACCTTAGAAGAATTATTACCTTTAATAAGGGAGTTAATAACTTAAAACTTAGTAGAAATTCCTTTTTAAGAAAAATACAACCTCACACGGTTTAAGGAAATTTTATTGAGTAACTAAATGAATTGAAGATGAAACAATTATTGAAATTTGAAGTATTAAAAAAATATGATGGGGTTCCTTCACAAAGGATAACAGAGGTAAAGGAATCTGAGCAGTTAGAACACTTGAATTGGTAACATTAACTAAACATAGCAAACCGAAAGTGAACTGCACCAAAATCCAATTACTAACAAGGATAAGGAAAACAAACACAGAATTTGACTTTCATTTCATATCTTGTTGCAGGCATGCAACCTGATCCCATTTCACATGTCTCGTTGCATACGTGCAACCCGATCCCATTTTAGATATCTCGTTGCAGGCGTGCAACCCGATCCCATTTCATATATCTCATTGCAGGCGTGCAACCTGATCCCATTTCAGATATCTCGTTGTAGGAGTGCAACCCGATCCCATTTCACATCTCTCGTTGCAGGCGTGCAACCTGATCCCATTTTAGATATCTCATTGCAGGCGTGCAACCCAAAATGGCGTACAACCCGATCCCATTTCATATATCTTGTTGCAGGTATGTAACCC